TCTCAGATAATGAAGACAATGTAGACTTGGTGATGAGCGACATTCATCCTCGCATGTCTTCAGCCTCGCACCAACAAAGCATGGAGAAAATGGAAACCCCCTCGTCTCCGAGAGGCCAGCCTGTTGGCAAAGAGAACAGCGTGAATGTAAGCTTTCTCACACATGCAATATGCGAGCCTTTTCCTGACTGGCAATAAAAAGCGAGTTCCCATATCCTTTAGGGCTTATTCCTGTTCATCCTGTTTCTTTAGGAGGAGGTTAGCACTTTAGCACCTGAACGCCTCTTCAAGATCGTCCTGGTAGGAAATTCTAGTGTCGGAAAGACCTGCCTCCTCCGACGATTTTGTGATGACGCCTTCCACCCTGGCACCTCCGCCACTGTGGGTGTGTATTTTATGGTGTAAACAGACATTAGCTGGTTTAAGAAAAGCTTTCGAAGCTCTGTGGTTGACCTCGAGCTTTGTATGCGTTTGCCTGCAGAGCACTAAGTGTAACAGTTGGTTATGACAGTTTTTTTCTCCTCAGGGTGCAGTGCTGTCAGCAATGAGGGTTCAATCCAGGGCTGAAATAGCCTTAAACACAATCAAACTGTAAAGTGTAATAACCTCTGGCGTTATATGCTTATGATGTCATTTGTTTTGTCTGAATGTGCAGGTATAGACTACAGTGTAAAAACAATAGCTGTGGATAACAGCCAGGTGGCGCTGCAGCTGTGGGATACAGCAGGACAGGAGAGGTGAGCTTTTCAGACACTGTCAGGTGTGAATTTGGCTGAGATCTTTAAACTTTCTAAATTAGATGTTCTCAATGTTCTCAACTAACAGAAGCAATGATCAAACAAAACGGTTTTTTTCTTACGCGGTGACAAAACATTCGCATATTTTTACCTTTAAAGAGGCAGAAAAAGCACTTTTCCATTATGTAAGCTGTACCCATAAATTTGCTACTTCCTCCTGCTCGTCCTGCAGGTATCGAAGCATCACCAAGCAGTTCTTTCGTAAGGCTGATGGTGTGGTTGTGATGTATGATATCAGTACCGAGGAGAGTTTCACAGCTGTAAGACAGTGGCTCACTAGTGTTAAGGTAAGGCAGTACCCGTCACAAAAACACCACAATCCCATTTTTGTGTTTTGCTTTATTTTGCTTACCTGCCATAAAAAACAAACAAAAAAATTACATTAAAAAACAATTAATTAAGTAATATTAAAGTAAAATTGAATTTAAATAATGTAGAAATTGAAAGAGTATATGAGACAAAATTTTTAGGAGTAATTATTGATGATAAACTTTGTTGGAAGCCCCACATAGAACATGTGAAACGGAAATTATCCAAGTCTATTTCTATTCTTTATAAAACAAGAGATTTTTTTGAATAAGAACTGCCTTTATTTATTGTATACTTCCCTTTGTTTGCCTTATATGACCTACTGTGCAGAAATTTGGGGGAACACATACAAAACATATTTGGATTCAATATTTAAATTGCAAAAAAGAGCTATTAGAATAATAAATAAAGTTGGATATAGGGAGTCCACCAACCAGTTTTTTGTAGGATCATCTATGTTAAAATTCATGGACATTATATATTCTAAAACTTTAGAGATGATATATTGTGTGATTAAAAACAATGTTCCGATTTGTATTTTAAGTATGTTTCAACTAAGAGATGGAAAATATGATTTGAGGGGTCTTATAAGTTTGAAATGCCTAAAGTGAACCAATGTTAAGTATAGATGTGTGTCAGTTTTGGGAGTGAAATTATGGACTTAATGATGAACTGAAGATGTGTTTTTCTTTGTCATTCTTCAGGAAGATTTTAAAAATTAGTATTATACAAGGTTATAGAAATTTGGTTTGTTAAAATTTTTTTGTGTTGATTTAATTTCTTGATTTATCATTGATTTCTTTTCAAACTGTTATTTCAAACAACTTATTTATCAACGCTATTTATTTTCTTGGTTAAGGATTTGATTATTTCTATGGGGGTAAGGGAGAGGATAAGTATAAGCCATAAGGCTTCAGCCTATTCCTTTTTCGGTTACTGTTTGAGTACTTTTATGTAAAATTATAATCTGTTGTTGTTGTTGTTGACTTAAATAAAAATTTTAATTAAAAAAAAATTAAAATATTCAAAAAAACAAGGCACGTATGAACTTAATCCCAGTGGACACAGATCTGTTTTAGCCTGTGCTCTTTCCTTAACTTGCTTCACAGGAAGGGGCGGGTGAGGACATCCCCGTCATGCTCCTGGGAAACAAAACAGACAAAGAGACTCAAAGAGAAGTTCAGAAAAGTATCGGCGAAAGATTAGCCAAGGTCTGTGTGTGTTGTTTCTGCTAAGCATGAGATTCTGTTTTAGTCACTGTTAGTTTCTGGTCAGTCATACTACAAGTGAAAGAAACATGAAGGATAATTAAAAGAAAAGAAAAGAATTAAAAGAAGCATGAATTAATAATTAATATTCATAATTTAGTTTTTTTTTATCCTTCTAATCTCTAGCGGGTGTTGTAGTTTCTATAGTTACTGGACAGTCTTGTGAACTAATATTGCTGTATAAGAAATGTTTCTTTCTTAGTGCTTTTACAATTTTAAGTGTAATTTATCGTCTACATTTCTCAAGGTAGCACAGAAGTCATTTTAGAATAGAATAGAAATAT